TTCAAGATAAAATTCTTCATTGGTTATGATCCCTAGAAAATATATTTTAAGACAAAGTTGTCCTGGACTAATAGTGTTTATGCCTACATGTATGTCATGATTGCAAACTTGTAATGAATAACGATTCATTTTATTTTTTCCATTTTGGTTGCTCATTCTTTCAAATTGAATTCTTAAGTGTAGCATTTATTCATTAAAAACTGCGTAAATTTGAAGTCTCCTTGTTTTAATGCTTCATATACATTCCCCAGGGTTCACACCCAATAGAGGTAAATAAGAATGTAAAAGACTGTGGTAGCTAAAATCCTAGTGAGGTAGCAAATTCTGCAATAAAATTAGAAACTCTTTGCTACAATTCATATCAAGATAAAGAATTGGTCTCTTTTTATGCTTAGAAATTAAGTTTTTGTTTGTTGTTATTCTTTATAAAACATGTATGTGTGATGCTGGACTCACTCAGAAGTATATATAAGATGTTGAATTCTTAATTCATTAACTACTGGTAGAATTTTGTTTTCATGGGATACAAAGGAAGTTGTTGTTTTGAGGTAGTGGCACATATATTTATATACTCACCGTCAATAGAAACGCAACACCCTAATTTTAGGGATGAAAATTATATACGGGATATAACTATGTACCAAAAAAGTTAGGACATCTTTTACTTTGCCAAATCAGTTATTTAACGGTTGAATGATTTTCATTCCATTACCGGAAGTTGATTTTTAGCTCCCTGAACAGAAATCTAAAATTAGCATTTTTAATAAAATTATTGACAATATTTTGGGTTTTCAAGGTTTTGTACCTGTTAATTATAAGTCTTGTACTAAAAGTCCGGAAAAAATATCCTTCTTTCTCTTCCGGATGTGATGCCTGTATTTCCTCAAAGTAACTGAAAGAACGCATTTTCATTGCTTATGTTAGAAATTTTCAAAATAAAGAAAAGGGAGAGCTACAGATGCAAATATACACTACATAATGACTTTTCGGGCTCATGTGTTTCAAAAGCATGAATGACAGTTCCTTGACCGGAAGTCCAAGGGTTACTACACTCTGCCAAGTTAGAGAAAATTCGACCTCAGTATCTGAAAAACAGGCATTTAAAAAAGGACAAGAATATTTATTTCGCTCAGATTAAAACATTGATAAACTTAATGCATGGTAGAATTCGGGCTGCTTATGTTGTACCTGGTGGACCAGCACGTTTTAATTGAATGGTTGGAAGGGGGGATGTCTTAGAGTTATGTGTTACTTTATCAGGTTTAAAGATAAGATTAAGAATGAATACATAAATGTAAAAAGTAAATTTACAAGACAATGATACTTCATTTAAACTTTAAATGTTATCTCTAGACCTTAGAAAGTAATACATAACTTTTGAAACATCCCCCCCTTCCGACCATTCAATTAAAACGTGCTAGTCCGCCATGTACAGCATAAGCAGCCCGAATTCTACCATGCATTAAGTTTATCAATGTCTTAATCTGAGCAAAATAAATATTCTTGTCCTTTTTTAAATGCCTGTTTTTCAGATACTGAGGTCGAATTTTCTCTAACTTGGCAGAGTGTAGTAACCCTTGGACTTCCGGTCAAGGAACTGTCATTCATGCTTTTGAAACACATGAGCCCGAAAAGTCATTATGTAGTGTGTATTTGCATCTGTAGCTCTCCCTTTTCTTTATTTTGAAAATTTCCAACATAAGCAATGAAAATGCGTTCTTTCAGTTACTTTGAGGAAATACAGGTATCACATCTGGAAGAGAAAGAAGGATATTTTTCCGGACTTTTAGTACAAGACTTATAATTAACAGGTACAAAACCTTGAAAACCCAAAATATTGTCAATAATTTTATTAAAAATGCTAATTTTTTATTTCTGTTCAGGGAGCTAAAAATCAACTTCCGGTAATGGAATGAAAATCATTCAACCGTTAAATAACTGATTTGGCAAAGTAAAAGATGTCCTAACTTTTTTGGTACATAGTTATATCCCGTATGTAATTTTCACCCCTAAAATTAGGGTGTTGCATTTCTATTGACGGTGAGTATAGTTTACACCCTCTAACTGAAAACTACTTTTTAAAGGACTGTTATATTACTTGTGATAATGGTAGATTAGTTTTAGTGCATAGGGATGAAAAAACTCAATTGCTTTATGACAATACTCATTTCTTTAAAATGTATTAATTTGATTTAGAGAAAAAAGAAATGTTTTTCCTTCCCCCCCCTTTTTTTGAAAATGAACATCAAAACTGGATCCTTCTCAAATTGATAAGAAGTTTATGAATGCTTAACTAATAATGAACAAGGAATTCATAGGCAATGTAGAGAATCTTTTTTTAATGTGTTTGATAAGTGTGTGGAGCTTTCTCTTTTCCACTGAAATTATCGAATAAATCAACACCGATTATATAGGTAGCATGCACATTGTCCTTTTACATCATATAGAATTTTGCTTTTTCAAAAATTGTTTTTCCTTAGTGAATATTGTATTGCCGCTATGATTTGAATTCTTAAGTGATACCAAATGTAACAATACAAATTAAGTCATTACAGACCTGCTAGGTCATCAATATGTTTAAAAATGAACAATTTGTGTCTGAAAAATTAAGAATCTTGTAAATAATTTGAAATGTTTAACACTAATAGATATTTTATTTTGCTAACAGACTTTATTGGGAGATGACCAGTATGTCTTCACCAGACTGAACAAAGTTTTTGACAGCATGCCGTCTACCAATACTTTATCTCACAAGATGTTTCCTCGACCTCCAACACCATTTGATGGTAAGTTACAGGGTACCATCTCCCACACCATTGATGGTAATATGGTACCATCTCCCATACCATTGATGGTAATATGGTACCATCTCTCACACCATTTGATGGGAAAAGAGTACCAATTAATTTCCCATAGAACTCTATACAAACCTTTTGCCCTCCAAGTAATTTACTAATTCCCGTTCAAACAAATCACTGGTATTATTTGAAAGTTCGTTCTAAGCACTTATTAAAAACACGAAAAAAAATATACTGTTCCGCGGCGTTTATAGGTCAAATTTGCAGTTATTTAGAACTTACAGAGATCGGCAGTAAATGACACCCTGCCAAAAATATCAATCCCCACTCCTACAATCTCCCCTGGTATTTCTAGAATTTTTGTAATATTCCCACATTCCATCATTTATTTCAAACATTAATATTTTTACTTTAAAATGAAAATATTTACATACCTCAATTCAGCCAATCAGGTAAAGCCTACCCATTTATTACTCTGCTTCATCTTGTTCAACCAGGAAATGATGTCAAAATCTGGGTCTTTGGTGCTCTTTTTCCTATACTTACATATTTACCTATCCCAGAATTAGTCAATTTTGTAATTTTCAAAGACCTTATACTTACCAATATACATGTATGAAATTTGAGGCCTGTCACTTCAGTGTCTTGGAATCTGTGGCCATCTTAATGAATGTCCCCTCCCTGCTGCAGGTGCTTTTCCAAAGAGTGAAAAACTTTCATTCCTGTGATGAAATCTGGATACAGTTGTCACTGTAATGAATAAAATATTTATAAAGTAACATGATTTTGTTTTTTGATGTTAATAAAATGATATAAAGTCATAATTGTGTCAATTTTTTCATAGGGGTGGAATCTACCCAGAATAAAGAAAAAAGGTCCAAAATTTGATAAATCATAATTAATTAAGCAAAATTAAAAGGTTTTAAAAAGACTGATATAGAAATTTTCTTATGCTTATGAAAAGTAAATTGTTTGAGACTCTGATATACTAAATGATTCTTATCTAACCCCTCCTGTTGCTTAAGTATATACAAAAAAGTTTCCCCACCCCCCAGTGAAAGACACTTAGAGAAATAGCAGGTGCCCCCTATTATATTTGTTTACAATTAATTCAGTCAAGAGAAAATTAATACTTTTGATAACAAATCAAAGTGCAGTGTCTGATAGTCTTATACAGTACAACCATAATCTACATTATTGAATTTCATGCTTTAAAAAGGGGAATTCAGATTAATTTGTAAAAAATTAAGAAATGCAATAATTGACTTAAAACCCCAAAATGTACACCACAATAAGAGGCTGAAAAGTTAATAAATGAAAAATTTACCTGCAATGTACAGAAATCTGTCCGACAAAATATATCGGGTGGGTAGCGAGTCTCCATCTTCTTCTTATATAGAGAAAATGCCCCCCGCCGATCAGATACCAAGCTCTCCCGGGTCCAGGAAGCTGAAATATGAAAGTTCTCTATAGTCTTTAAATGAAAATAAATCAATAAAGTTAGTCAAATTAAGCATAAATCAAAAAGAAAACAGCAATATTTTTCAAGTTTTCTGAAAAATTACCAAATTACATATCTTCTACATGGCCGAATGTTTAAAAAATGGATCCGTCAAGGGTGGAATACATGTTTTACAATTTTACATGTAATTACATGTAAATATTAGAAAAGTCAAATGTGATACATGCAGTAATGCCATTCCAATAATTCAAGAAAACAAAATCAGAAGCCTAAGGTCACAATAATTAAGATTATATCATGTTGAAATTCTACATATTTGGTTAGCTAGTCTAAGGGAAGTAACTCTAAGTACAAAAACTGGAAAGCAGTAGAAAATGAGTTGCAGAGAGTCACCCTGATGGAACTACAAAGAGCAAAAAGAGGGAAAACACATACCTTTGTGTAGCTACAATATAGAAACAACCAAACTACAAACTGATCCCCCCGCAGTCAAAGGGAGGCAATCCAGAGGATCACATACACTACCGACATGATACGTCAAGACAGAAAATGACCTCCTTTCACATGAACACCACGAAACGCACTTTTAAGGGCCGAATAAATTATTCGAAAAGATACCAAACGTGCAGACATATAAGAAACTAAACAAAAATTAACACCAGGCCACGATCCTACACTTCCAAAAGTACACATATATAGCAAATCATATAAATACACAATTACATGTACATGTAAAATACATACATAAATTTATGAATACATACAAACATTTATTATAAGATCAATCTGATACATTTTCTTAACTTACCTTTCTCCTATGGCCAAGTCAACTACACATTGTTTTACCAATTTCCATCCTCTGTAACACCCCCCCCCCCCCTATCTCTACAAAAGACCCAAAATCACCTCTAACCCTAATTCCACAGATAAATAATTCAAATTTTTGCTAATTTTTCTCTCGAAATGTCTTCAATATTCAAATAAATTGCTAAAAATAACTTTTCATGACTTTCACTTCACTTTACTTATTAAAAAATGGGGTCTCTATAGGGAAAAGAGTACCAATTAATTTCCCATAGAACTCTATACAAACCTTTTGCCCTCCAAGTAATTTACTAATTCCCGTTCAAACAAATCACTGGTATTATTTGAAAGTTCGTTCTAAGCACTTATTAAAAACACGAAAAAAAATATACCGTTCCGCGGCGTTTATAGGTCAAATTTGCAGTTATTTAGAACTTACAGAGATCGGCAGTAAATGACACCCTGCCAAAAATATCAATCCCCACTCCTACAATCTCCCCTGGTATTTCTAGAATTTTTGTAATATTCCCACATTCCATCATTTATTTCAAACATTAATATTTTTACTTTAAAATGAAAATATTTACATACCTCAATTCAGCCAATCAGGTAAAGCCTACCCATTTATTACTCTGCTTCATCTTGTTCAACCAGGAAATGATGTCAAAATCTGGGTCTTTGGTGCTCTTTTTCCTGATGGTTTTGATGGTAATATGGTACCATCTCCAACACCATTTGATTGTAATATGGTACCATCTCTCACACCATTTGATTGTAATATAGTACCATCTGCAACACCATTTGATGGTAATATGGTTCCATCTCCCATACCATTTGATGGTAATATGATACCATCTCTCACACCATTTGATTGTAAAGTGGTACCATCTGCAACACCATTTGAACATCTCCCATACCATTTGATTGCAAGTTGCAGGGTTCCATTTCTGACACCATTTGATGGTAAGACAGAGTAACATCTCCCATACCATTTGATTGCAAGTTGCAGGGTTCCATTTCTGACACCATTTGATCATAAGACAGAGTAACATCTCCCATACCATTTGATGATAAGTTACAAGGTACCATTGCCCAAACCATTTAATTGGAAGTTTCAAGGTACCAATTTGCATGCCATGTGATAATTGGTTCAGGATACCACTTCCTATACCAATTGATGGGAAGTAACAGGAAATCATAGTTACTTACAGGGTAGTATCTCCTACACAATTTGATGATTATGTCCAATGCATCACTTGATATTTCCACGACCCTACGCTATTTGATGGTATACCTACAAACCAACACCTGAATATCAATTGTACTTGATTTACTTGAATTTCATCTAATATTATATCACAATGCCTCTTTCTTTCTATTTCAGGACCTGCCCAGGCTGGTATCAGTAAAACTAGTAACAACCCCTCTGTGGTTCATCAGGGAGTGTTCTCCACAGCCAGCTATGCCACGCACAAAATCCGCTTCAAAGACGTGGAACTCTGGCAAATCTGTAACGACCTGCTGCAAAAAACTCCAAAGATTGGCAATAGCAGCAAGGTAAAGTACTCAAGGCGACAACTACATAAACTTATCTAGTTTATCCTCTGATTAATTCTCTCTCTACAAATTTCTGCTGATCCTCGTTTGACAAATTTCTGATGATGCTCTCACTGCAAGGTTTCATATGCTTGGTAAATTTATACATGACCATTTATTCATTTATGTCTTGCTCAAATTATGCTAGATTGTCAGTTATGGATGAAAAGGGGGTGGGGGAAACAAATAGCTATTCGGGTTAAAATCAGGATCAGTACACGGGGTAGTTTATGTTGAATGTTGTTCCAGTCCTAAAGAATTTTATGTTAGACTGAGTAGTTTATATATTAACTACATTTGTAATCAAAAAATGACTTTGATGATTTCAGTCGTTCCGTGAGTTTGTTGTGGAGAAAATACGTAAACTACCTGGAGACTACCCTATCTTTAATGACTTCATCATGAAAGAGTGTGAGATTCTACACCAACTGTTGACAGAAGTCCGACATACACTCACTGTAAGTTTTCACCTTTTACTTGTTGAATCTGAAAATTTTTATGAAATATTGAAGTTGTTTAAATGTGAATTTTGATTGAACTGTTGTCTGACACATTGTATAGAAGTAGATTTTGACAACTTGGTAAAAGGACCTTGTCTTCGTTACAGTTGATAAGGAACGCCTGTGAGAACAATGTGATGGGTGACCAGCTGAGTGACCACTACCTGTCTGCGGCCGATGACCTCTACCACTTAAGGATCCCCAGGATCTGGTGTAAGATGACCGGCACCACCGCACCACCCTACACCTACAACGCCGCTCAGTGGCTCCGGGATTTAGAGGACCGCTGGAAGCACTTTGAGAAGATCCTAAGCATGGTGTGTATTGTATAATTAAAAAATGTGGGGGAATCAATGGGGGGTGGATATCATTTTCAGAATTCAATTTTTGTTTCGGAATTAGAGAAAATAACATTTTAATCCTACTTTCATTCTTCTTAAAAATTTAATGATTTAAAAATATTTTTTTTCTTGCATATTGTTATAATACTTTGCATGTTGCAGGGAAGGAAGGCCATGCCAGCCTATTGGTTAGGAGCATTCTTCAATCCTAGAGGACTTCTTGCCTTGCTGAAACAGGAAGCCATCAAGAGTTACTGTGGAGATAGGTCTGGCAATTTTGAACAGTTCACCTTCCAGACTGATACAACATTCAGGGATTTTGGACATGTGAGAACAATACCTTCTCTCTAATCCTTTTATTGTACAAATCTTGCTACCAAAGCTAACAATAGACTGAAACAGAATTTGATATTAATTGTATCATTCATGGAGAAAATTGATTTTGGTATTTTTGTTTCCTTCTTTAGTTACTTCAACCTCCACCAGAGGGTGTGTACATCCATGGAATCCACCTCTGGGGGTGTTCCATTGAGAAGACTACCAATGAATTCCAGGACCAGGCCTCCAGACAGGGTTACGCCCCCCTTCCTGTCCTCCATCTACAGTGCTACCCGATTAACGAGAAACCCGCCTTACAGGAACCCTCCTTCCAGTGCCCCCTCTATCCCTCCAGAATAGCCCCACGGGACCCCATCATGGAAATTGACATCAAGAAGGAGGGTATCCCGCCCATGAGATGGGCACTACGTGGGCTCACAGCTACCATATGGCCTTATTAATTAAAGAAACTGCCAAAGACGTTTTCTTGTGTTGTATTAAAAAATCCAAAATAATGCCTTTTAGGAGTGATTTCTTGAACAAGATCTGACATTTTTTCCGACTTTGTGATTTGTGAAAGTTTCACTGTATGACATAATGCTTTACATAGATAAATAGGTATTTTTTGCTGAATGCAAATCTTATTCCGTCCTCATCACGTTAAATCTGTGATTACATTGGTTGTGTACAGAGTAGATTAATTCTATACAATTTGTATTATTATGGTTGTGTTTCTCTGTGACAGTGATGCATTAAGTATTTGTTTATACTCTTGTTGATATTGTTTTTATTTTAAAATATTTATATTTATTTCTATTTTAAAGACTTTTCATGCATATGTGTCAAAATATTGTATACTGCTGAGTTTGATTAAAACTTGAATATTGTAATCTTTTTTGTCATTTTTTGACATGATTACTGTAAATGTATTATATTTGGCGTATACGATATTTGGCGGAAATTGAATTTTCAACAAGTTGGCGTAGATTTGATTTAGCGCTTTTTGAATGTGCATTGCAGAAACCTTTATACACAAAGCATTTGGCGATGTACTTGATTTAGCTGAGGCTGCTTTCCGCGAAAGGTGGTAAAAAGAATACACAGCCAAATGTAATACGTTTACAGTATTTGATTGTATATTTTTAACGTCCCTCTTAAGAATTTTTCACTCGTATGGAGACGCCAGCTAGCACTTGCCATTAGAGAGAATGCAACTCTGAAATGTGAATTATTCACACAAGTATTCATTTTGTATATCATGGCTTCTATAGTGATATGTACACAGATGTGTCTTTGACCTTCTGACCCTGGAGTCCATATTCCAAGACTGGCCTGTTAGCAATTCAGTGATATATGTAGTATTCACTCTTGGCCATCTTATTGTCCTTGACCTTTTGACACTGTAATAACTAGTCTTATGTAGTATTATATGACCACTTTGCAAATTTTGCATGTTTGAATGGATACTGTTCAACTCTGATTTTTGAAAATCAAATGAATGAATTCTTTTTAATTTTTCTTCTACATATGCAACATCTGTAGAATTTTAGTTGCTATAGACAGAGTCAAAGTTTTAAGTTTTCTATACATGTTTTTTGAGAACATGAGTAAGAACATACTCTGACAATGATCTCGAACTTTGATCCTCGAGTGAGTTGATTTTGGCTTCTTGTCATCCACAACCTGTCTAGCAAGTCTTGAAGTAATCTATTCACAGTCTACAAAACAAATAGGAAACCACAAAATGATCTCGAACTTTGATCCTCGAGTGAATAGATTTTGGCTTCTTGTCATCCACAACCTGTCTAGCAAGTTTTTAAGTAAAATTTTTACACAAGTCTACAGCACTAACCACAACAACAAAATCGTTAATTCTGATCCTGAAAAAAAATTCCAACTTAAGGAGCTACAAAAGTCAATATTATTAAAGACAAGTATAATCCAACAAAGATTCCAGTTTTTTTTCCAATTTATGTGTGGATACGACTGAGCCATGTCACAACATCAGATATGTCAACTTTGATATCCAATACCGATTACAACAGACTGAAAGGAATATAGTTCATATTTAACCTTATTTTCGAAATTTAATGCGCAATTATCATATCCTAAATCTTTCCACCCCCACCTCCAACTTAAATCTAGACAACATGGACTTGCTTCTATGCGTACATGTAATGTATAATTTAGTTTTATTACAAAATATATCAGAATCACACTACTTCAAAATTGTACCATGTTATACCATGACAATACTTTATTCTCATAAATATGGTAATAGAAACAATGCACATTACATAACAAATACAACTATATGACAATGTGCATGTTTGAAAATTAACCAAGAGAACAGGTTTAGATGTACAGTATATATACACTATAATATATTATAAATATTGCTCCCAAATTATATGCATCAACATGTTAACCCAACAAAACCCAGTAGACTTGTATACATTCATCAACTCTGTTAAATTATTCAGAATAAAAAATGACTGAAAGTATTTGAATTTACAAACTAGCAAAGGACAAGATAGGGTAACAGCCGAATTTATGATATAAAAATCAGAACACTGATAAAACTGTGATAGTTTGTAGTTAAGAAGTTAAAATGATGCTTACTCTAAGACAAGCATTAATTTTGATTCAAAGGCTACATGGAAGCCACTAGAGGGTTCAGAAATAGGAAATTTTCCCGAATTTTCTCAATTCTGGTGGATTTTCATCATATTTTGGATACATTTCTCTTCGGAAAACATAGAGCACACGCTTGCCTATCTGAGATTTTTACACATATACTACATCTGATATAAGTGTATAAAATATATAAATTTGGTAGATAGGCAAGCGTGTGCTCTATGTTTTCCGAAAGAAAATGTGCTGTAAAATTAGTGAAAATTTGCATAAAAATGAGAAATTTCGAAAATAGACCTATTTCCTGACCTCACTGCGACCTCTGTATATTCTTAATCTTAAAACCAGTACTCATTTTGTGGCAGGGGTGAAAACAGGTTTTCATGGATAAACTGTTGGATCATTCTGAAAGACACCCAAAATCGGGGGCCAAATACTGGTCTTACCCTATCTTGTCTTTTTTTATATGTTAATTTAAAGTAGTCCGATCACCAGGTTTGTAAAATTAGCAGTTAAATAATCAAAACTACTCATAAAAGTATCTCTGAATCCACAATGTTATGTAAATTTATCCACAGTATTTCTTTAAAGTTAAAGATTATAGTTAATCATATTATATTTACATTTCCAATGTCTTTGTCCGGGATAAAATTACAAATTGTAAATGAACTTTATTTCCCCATCAATGAATTGGCGCAGTTAAAAAAAAAAACACGTGCAGGGCGGGTGTCGCATAATATACGTTCCGGGTAACTTGGCGTTCCGGCCGGAACGCTAAATACCTATAACATTGGTTCCGGGCCATAATAAACGTTCCGGCCCGCGTAAGATTGGTTCCGGCCGTAAAAAACGTTCCGGGCAACCAAGCACCCTATTAAACTCTCTATTTATATTTAATATTGGCTGTTAATTTTAATTTTCTTCTTTCGTTTATACCTTCGTATATGATACAGTAGGATTTAATCGTAAGACATACATATATGTTTACATTTCAAGTCAGAATATGCGGTCTTTTTACCAGAGACATTATATATTTATTGATGTCTCTGATTTAAATATTATATTAATCCACGAAATTCCAGTTGATTATTTTGATTCTTTGTAAACAAAAGAAGGTGTGAAACTTGTTTACATTGATATACCCCCATCGTGCTGTTTTATGACACACTTGGCTTCTATCGATACGAATAATTGCTCAGTCTTGCGAATCGCCGTAAGCACACATGACCACCCTGATCAGATGATAATGGTGATAGATTAATTATATTTACGATAAAATACTTTAATTATTAGGTAATATTTTAATTTCCTTACAATTTTTTAAACACCCATACATGTAGTTGCGTTTTTTTTAAAACCAAATATATTAATAAATTAAAATACAAGAACATAATGGGAAACGAGTGCATGCCGGATCTAAAAAGGGAATTTATAATTTAACCATTTAATACGAAGGAAAAGTGTTTCCCGTTTGTTGATTATTTTTCTTCGTCAGGTGAATTTTTTTTTCTTTTTTAATTTTTTTTTATTTTAATGTTATATGTCAACAAAACATGCACATGATCAACTTGGAAATGTTTCAATGACACGGCTAAAAACTTTTGAATAAAATTCAACTCATTTTTATTTATGCACGTAAGTACAAGTACATTTGTATTCATTTGTAAAAATAACACTGAAGAAGAAATGTATTACAGACACAGATCTGTATTTTACTATTTATATGAATAGCATTGTGAAGTCTGCTCACACCCCCCTTCCCCTGCAGTGAACAATAGACAAAAAACTTGATTTGCTTGGTATGAAATTTTCTATATTTTAATTAACAATTTGTTGAATGTGTTCAACAAACAAAGGAGTCTTAGTGGGGAAGGCAACCGCGAACGTTTGTTCTATCGCCTACCTGATTTTTCAAAAGACATCTTTGAATGACTTTTCCTATAGATATAATGGTTTTTTTTTTTTTTACGAACTTTCAAAAACTATGATTATTTGGAAAAGAAGAAAACGTTTCTCTTTAATTCTGATAAAACGTGTATTTCCGCTCTAGAACTCGATGGGAATGTAAAATCTTAATTTAAAATGAAAACCTGCAGGCATGCTTATGAAGCTATCTTAGGACTAAGAGATCTCTTAAGATGAACTTACGACATATCTTAGTCTTAAGTGAGGCCATCGAAGCTATCCTATCTTAGGAGACCTCCTAATCTTAGTCCTAACTTTAAGATGACTGCGGACATGTCATATCTTAGGTGATTTCAAGAAACGCTGGTGTCAGGAAAACAATTGAGAATGTTTTTCGTTTAAATAAATCAACTATTTACTGTAAATTAATGATTTCTTTAATGAACTAAATCCATTTATGAACATCATACCGTGTAAATATATGTATATACCTTTACAAATAGAAATGGAGAGAACAGTTAATAAGAATGCGCTCATTGACATGTATGCATTTAAAGATTAAAACATTGAAAAAGATTTATTCAACCACTTTCTAGGTAGATAAAAATATACAATTGATTGTTTTTTATTGGGACAAAAAACGGAGGGATAGGGCAGATACATTCAAAAGATCTAAACCAATCTGCTGCATTTATTGGTTTAAGCCGATGTAAATAATAAAAACAGCAGAGAAACAACACATATTCAAAAAATTAAAGAAAGTTTATAGAGGTGACTTCCTCTTCGTGGAAGAGAGAGAGAGAGAGAGAGAGTTGACCAACTTGGACAAAAAACAAGAAAAGATGTTACATGTATGCCTTATATCTTTTCTAAAATACTAATCCAATAATACAAACAACTATATGAAAAGAAAAGTTACTTGTATATTACCATGTAGCTCCGTTTTTCTGTTTCTGCTAAATGTAAACTAGATTGTATACACAAATAA